TATTTTGAATAAATCTTTATTGATTATGTTTATTCAGAGACAGCTCAAGAAATATTTTGTATGAATAAATATGTAAATCTTATTAAAATTATAAAGTTGGTCTCTGGAGGTTTATAAGATTTGTTTACACTCAGACTTTTGTTCCACGCTGTCTACAGCCTAACCTGATTCCAGTGATTGATTGCACTCATAGTGAGAATAGGAACTTCACTCCTTGTTAATAAATGGAAAATAAGTTATCATGGCAGGTCCATTGAGGGTTGCTAATTTTAGATGCCAGACATGTTGTATTATTTGCAACTATCGTAACTTAACTAGATTGGGAATGACAAATGTACTATCTGAACTGGTTTACTATTGAATATAAATGCACAGAGACAGTTGTGTGAAAGAAAATGCTATAAATTTATAAAACAATGAAACCACTAGGTTCTTTATTTTTATTAATGCAATAAAAAAACTAAATTGCATTTTAGTTTATCTTTTAGAGAATTGGGGAATGCGTGTTCTTTCCCTTTTAGTTGTCTCGATGCGATTGTTTAGTGAAGCTTAAAAAGATGGTATTTTTTATTTTTATTTTTTGCACACTTGAAGATTTTCTATTATGTTCTTAACAATATGAAAACAAGGTGACTTGTATTAAATGCTGCACCATTACCTTTGAAATCTTACATATGGAAGCAAAAGTGTAAATAACCATTGTGCTAAATGAGAAAACATTTAATTACATTGTTTGGTTAATTCTGTTTTCACAATGCTTTAAGTTTGTGTACTTGTGTTTTGTTTTGTTTTTTTACATTTTTTGATTTTCCATTTTTATGTAATTCACATTATGATTGTGTGTGTGAGATGAACAATTGAAAGCAGCAAGAGGGATATCCAGCCATTCGAAAATACAAAAATACTGCTTAGTTTCAGAAGGAGTAGGATTGTATTTCCTAAATGCTCCTAGCACTCATATTAAACACATCAGGTGAGAGATCACAGACTTCCAGAAACAGATGGGCACTGGGGAATCTTTTAAGCCCTTGCAGTATTTGAGGCAACCATATCAATGAGATAACAATAGGAACTATACTGCAAGGGGATACTATATTTAGATTAAACACAGTGCAAACTTCCTGTGAACTGAAGTCTTAATGAAGTATATTACATTATGCATAACCTGACAGCTATGAAGTACATAAAAAGAAATTCAATATAAGGCTTATGTAGTTTATATCTTTTAGAGAACGTTGGATACTATTTTTTTTTTTTTTTATGTTTTAGAAAAATGGTCTCCAACCTTTCTCTACAATGCTTCATAGATCTGAATGCATTCCTCTTTGAATATGGGTACTAAAATACTCATGTCATAGCATACAGCACTGGAAGTTTGAGATTGGTTGATTGTGGACTGACAAAATGCATTCAGTCAACACATAGAAAATATTGCATTTATAGGAATATAATCCCATTGTACAATGAAAAAGAATAGAAGAGAGAGATCAAGGGGAAGGCTGGCAACTTTTAGCCTTGGGTGCTAGTATAAACGAAAGGCATTTTTTGCAGATACAACTCTCAGTTCTCATTGTGGAAAGTCCTACTCACATGGAGATGCATTATATAGATCTGACAGAGGAGGCTGCTGAAATGTAATGTCATGCACTAATGGCAACTGACTTATTTTATTAATGTAATGATCTTGGTGCACCAAAGAGATAAAAAAATAAATCAAAATTAAGGTTTATTAAAATTCCAGTACATATGCCAGCATATAGGTTAGCGTCATTCTCTCATCCATTCCCTCTTTTGAGGTAATTGGGTATTGTTCAGTAATAAGGATTCAAATGATCCTTCTTTAAGTTTGTGTACTCGTGTTTTGTTTTGTTTTGTTTTGTTTTTTTACATTTTTGGTTTTACATTTTTATGTAATTCACATTGTGATTGTGTGTGTGAGATGGACACACTCTAGGGTCACATGATTTGCTGAATATATATTTGCCCTTACAAGCAAGTACACCTAATATAGTAGCCAGTATGTATGTCTCTCCCTTTCTGTGTATATTTATATACGTGTGTCTATGTATATATGTGTATATGTATGTGTGTGTGTATATATATATGGAAAGGTGGAGCCTGTAGTTGTGTGAGTGGTTTATCCGGCCTATACATTTACAGGCCTCCCCTTCCTCTGGGCTGAGACTTCCTGGTTCAGTACAGAACCACCTACTTCTGGTTCAAAGGTCATCAACACAAACTGCCTTAACTCCAAACAAACAAGCTGGTCTTGGCCTAGTAAGGCCTATGTAAGTATTCATTTTACCCTCGAAGCTCATGGGGCACTGCCACATCCAGCCCAGCAACGGCTTTTCCTGTTGCTGTTCACATGGTTTTTGTTTTCTTGGTTCGTTTTTCAACAAGTTTGTTCGCTTTGGTCCACATTGGGCCACGTATTCACGGACATTCCATACACATATTTAGCCCATATTTGGCCTTTCACTAACTAGGGTGGCATTAGCATTTCAGTTTGTATTCCTTCATTATTCGGATATGGCGAATTTCATTAATGATGCAAATACGGCTTATTTTAATCACCACATCACAGTGATACCTCAATTCAGTTCATGCATTATGCTTACTGTTTTTGAGCATATCGTATTTTATAATATGCAGTTTAGTTAGTCACCCTACGTTCTTTTGTATAATAGATGCTATGCCATATTCCATTTTCATATGTGTAGCTTATTATTGTCAACCTACATGGCCTCAGTTATACTTGTCAGCATTTGTTACTTATGTTCACCCGACCTAAGTACCTATATGTATTTTTCATGGTTGCCCTCTTAGTTTTCAGGCACTCATGGGGCCTACACTGTTGGAAAGTTCCTGTACCACGGTGCGCTCTGCTCCGCTCGGCCATGTTACACAGAGTGCCTGGCAGGAGGGTGTGCTGTGCACCCACTTCCTGCCGGTCACTTTGATCTATAGCCCCCTACTATAAATTTACATTAGTAGTACTAAAATCATCTGTTAATATTATTCCGTCGTCATTATTATTTAAAAAAGTAATAACATCCTGAGCTTTGGGTATTAGGCCATTCCATATTAGAAACAAGTCATCGATATATCTATAGTAGGCCACCAGGCTCTCCAACCAGCCATGCCCCCTCCACACTGTTCTCTCTTCCTATTCATAAAGAGATTGGCATAGCTGCGTGCGTACCTGGTACCCATTGCTGTGCCGTTGACCTGCTGATAAAAAGAATCACCAAACCAAAAATAATTGTTTTTTAAAATTATAATGGGAAGAGAGGAACGGTTATTAAATAATAATGATGATAGAATAATATTAACAGACAATTTTAGTACTACTAATGTAACTTTTTTAGACTTAGACATATTAAAAATAATGAAATTCACATCAAAACACATTTTAAGAAAGTGCATGTAAATAATCCTATAGGTATGGACAGTTGCAATTATGATATTTGGCTCAAGAGTTTACCAAAGAGCCAACTACTAAGACTCAGAAGGAACTGTTCAGAGTTGGACATATTTTAAAACCAAGTAAGTGAAATTAAAGACACATTTTTAGAAAAGGGATATAACAGCACTTTAGATAAAATTATTGAAGAAACCCAACACATACAAATAATTTTTTTTATTTTAAGTACAAAACAAAAAAAAACTGGTAAGATTTTAAATTACCCAAAGTTTTAGACTACAACAACAAAAATAAACAATTAAAGAAAATTAAAAAAAAACTAATTGGCACCTTCTAAAGGAAGACAAACTTCTAAAGGATATTATCCCAGTGCACCCAAAAATAGTCTTCAGAGGTGCATCAAATTTCTAAATGCAATTAACAAAAAAATATGAATCCGGTAGATATTAATCTAAATAAGTAATACAGTACAATATACACACTACTCAAGATAATAACTGTAGTGAGATGTATACAGATACTTAACTTAATTATTACAGCCTCCCAAGATCGTTACCCAGAGAAAACGACCTATTAACATAGATAACCACAAGCAACACAGAACTTCGGGATACGGCTGGACAGTTAATCTAAAAGGAACACAAAAAATATACACAAAATAGTGAAGTACAATTAACACATGGTTTTCCGCTGAATACAAATGCACTCACAGAATGAAGTAGAATATATCGCTCATAGGGTGCCTCCCCTAGTGGAATGGGGGGTTGGTAATCCCTTGGCTCCTTCTTAGGCTTCCTTAATGATGCTCAGGACTCCAAACAGGTAATGGTAGAAAAAAGATGTATTTATTGATAAAAGGTGAGTATTCACCATCAGTATAAAGTATAATAAAAAACGGTATGGTCCTACGCGTTTCGTTCTGCAAAGAACTTCATCAGGGACCGTATATAAAGAATAAAATCAATATACAATTACAGTATATAAAAAAACATCCTCGGCATGTAAAAAAACAATAAAAATGGACAAATGCATATCAAGTTTTAAATCAAATAGAACCAATAAAATGTATAATATAAGAAACACCATAACTTGTAATAGTAAAAATTTTATATATTTATTGCAGGGCTCCAAAATATAGGAAGAACAATAAAACCGCTAAAAACAAGAATTAGAGAACACTGCTGCAATATAGAAATTGGTTATAAAAATCATTTAGTTTATTCTCACTTTCTTTCCCATAATAAAGATCCCAGTAACATAAAATGGATGGGTATTGCAAAACTTACACATCACTGGAGAGGTTGCAATATCATTAATAAACTTGGTCAAAAAGAGATGGAATGGGTATACTATTTAGCTACCCTCCACCCCAATGGTTTAAATGCAGATTTCGATTTGTATAATTTTCTATAATCTAAGTATTTTTTAGATACTTTTACACTCTTGTCCATTTTTTTCTATTCTATTCTGTTTTCTGTATTTAACTCCCTTTTTGTTATAATTCTCCTATATGGAGTCTGTGGGACAATATACTGCTGCACTTTAAAACGGTTCAATATGAACTACATCTACCATGAATCTTCACTCTATGCGTCATTTCCGGTTAAGCATAGAGCACAAATACTATAAGAAGAACTATACACCCCAAGGTTCACAGCGATATATTAGCCACGATACGTCCATTCCGGTTGTGACGTACGTGGCTGAAAATGGAGAGAAAAACTACATGCCCCATGAATGCTCGCGATGTCCTGAGTGTGTTAAGTCACTTTTGGGTGACGCATGCAAACAAGGAAATTGAATCCTACACTCCTAATTTCAGTAATTGAAGATATATACCACATATAAACCAGGACTTGAAAAGACTACCTACACTTCTGAGGATGCCCAGCTGGGTGAAACGCGTAAAGTGTTGGTACTGGAAGAATTTACTCCCTATATACTCTCTCTCTCTCTCTCTATCTCTCTATATATATATATATATATATATATATATATAATGGACGTATCGTGGCTAATATATCGCTGTGAAGCTTGGGGTGTATAGTTCTTCTTATAGTATTTGTGCTCTATGCTTAACTGGAAATGACGCATAGAGTGAAGATAATTGATAATAAAGTATTTATATTTTAAAGGTATATCCTATGTGGGGATAATACCACCAACACTCTCTTCATACCAGACCAAGCCATTGCTCTGCATATTGTGAGAAAGATACTGTTTTTTATCTTTTACTTTGTGTGTGTGTGTTATATATATATATATATATATATATATATATATATATATATATTACACCATAAGACCTTTCTATTGTGTTTTCTCATATATACTGGTTGGAAAGAACTATCAAGCAAAGCTACAAATATCCATAGACGGGGATTGTACCATCCAGGCACATTACAGCAGAGCTCTTAGCAGCTCTATTTATTGTGAGTTAGCACTTTAAATTTCTAAATCAAATAGTTTAAATAACTGTTACATATTGCACTATTTTTGTCCATTTCTGTTTCCTCTAAGGTTATAGAAACCATTCTACCTCAGCGTATGTAGACTGAATCAACTGATGTAACTATATCTTTAGGTATATATTTCTGCTATACTTCATTTTTTGGGGGGCGTGGTTTATCACCTTGCTTGTTGGTATCTAAACTATTCAATGTATTTGTGGTAACCCACTCATGGCTGCTATTGACTGTCTGTGACTTCTATACAACGATACATTATCATGACACATTTCCGACTGTTGAGGAACTAATTGCTATACTCTAGAGTATTCACAAGCACAAGGCCACGTTTCCCAAGTGCATACCTGTAAAATTAGTAGGCATACATCTTGACATTATAAAAAAATAAAAAGTAGAAAAGGTAAAAGCGCACACAGATCAAGGAGGTCTTTACCTGACGTGTTATAAATAACTGGTAAGAAGTAACTCCTCCTTATATACAATAGGTATATACAATGTAGGTATGCCTATACAGAAGTATCCTGATACTCCTGGCTCCTGACTCCAACTTTTCAACAGATGATTATTCAGATCATTGAAGGATTTGCCTGAAGAGTGGAGGAATGTGCATGTCCCACTTAAGTGACATATAAAGCCACATAAGTCTCGAGCCTACTTTAAACGGCTCAGCCAAGTGTGAGTGATTTTAGCTCATAATTTCCTTTTTTGTGTTTTATATACAGACCACACTATGTTTTGTTCTGTGTTTGTATCTTCTGTATAGGCATACCTACATTGTATATACCTATTGTATATAAGGAGGAGTTACTTCTTACCAGTTATTTATAACTTGTCAGGTAAAGACCTCCTTGTTCTGTGTGCGCTTTTACCTTTTCTACTTTTTATTGTATTCTTTCTAAGTATATATAGTGGTGATATATTTGGGTATAGCAGCACCATTCATTCACTTTATCCTCTAGCGCCATTTTCTATATATTTTTTGTTATACATCTTGACATATTGTCAATACAGCCCTGCCCCCCTTGGGCAGTGTCCAGCGTATCAGGGAATATGTAGTCATTTATCAGTAAAGGTTCATTCCCCCACTGACCATTAATTCCCCTGTTAGTTTAGACTGGGTTTGCAGCCATTATCAAGGACAACTGGTTCTGTGACACATGGCCCGCAGAGACATGAAGCCTACTCTTTTAGTAACCTTTAGCTCTCGTTGTAGTATACTCCATCGCAGCCACTGCACAAGCCTGGGGATCTCTATGGGGGAGGAAGTCTGTCAATTACTACTCAAATACAGCAGTGTGCAAAGTTACTTGGCTGGCAGCAACACAGCAATTTTACCTTGTCCGCATGCACATACCAGGCTTTCATAACATAAGCCTTGTCTCAATCCCATTTTAGGTATTCCTCCAAACATTCCATGGCTGCCTAACCACATACTAAAACTCCTACATGCCAGGATCTCATTCTAAATTAGCACATCTCATGGTCATGGTATATTTCTGGCACACGCGGCTCTCTCTGCTTACACCAACCATTTATATACCAGAACTCTGGCCAGTTTAATAAGTTCACTTAATATGGTATCGTCAATTCATACTCCATCGATACAATGGTTACATTTGCATCCTTTTGCCACCTCAAACTTAAATTAGCTAACAAATACTTAAACTTATCTCATACCCTCCTACAAACTATCAACAATAAATGGTGCCAGGTCAACATACTAGACCAATTGTCCAACACTCACAGGACTACCCAGGCATATGCTCTCTTTTAAGTTTACACGGTAACCACTCACTACATCAAAATCATCATGTACGTCAGGACACAATTCATAAAACTCATATTCAGATCATTCTTTTAGAATAAGTACTGCTTCTTCAGCCTTTAGTAAACATACCAGCACACATCATGAACTGGGACATTGGAATCATCTGCATACACCAGAAATCCCTCAAATGGAGAGGGAACTGAGACAGGCATTTAAAGTACTGGTTATGTAATGTCAACACATACTAAGGATTAAACTGTTAACTTTTTGCCCTCTTTTACAGGCCTACCCGAACGTCGGTTCCGGCACACCACAACCGACTTATACCACTTCTATAACTCAGCTTATTTCTCCCCTGACTACAAATGGAAATGTAGAGCCTGTAGTTGTGGGAGGGATTTATCTGGCCTGTAAATCCACAGACCTCCCCTTCCTCTGGGCTGAGACTTCCTGGTTCAGGCCACCCACCACACCCTTTAGTAATCATTCACTTAGTGGGCCCTCTTTTACTGGTCTTCTCGAACGTCGGTTTCGGCATATGCCATTATTATAACTCTGCTTATTGTCCCCGAATATATATATATATATATATATATATATATATATATATATATATATACACACACAATATCCAGCACACTCACTCATTCACTAAACAGCAATTTTAAGGCTCACAGAATGTAATAGTTTTATTTAAAAACACCTCACCTAGGCAAAAAACATAATGGGGGTTTAGTTACAGTATATGATAAAACATTGCATAAGCCTGCTACTATGCCAAAGTACCCCATTCTTGGTAGGTCCTAAATTGCTAGTGTAGGACATGGGACTTGCCAAGAATGGGGTACATTGGCACAGTAGCAGGATTATGCATAGCATGACCATATACTATTACTAAATCTCCATTATTTTTTCCTAAGCCAGGTGTTTAAATAAATACCTTGGCTTTTTTTTTTTTAACTATTACATTTTGTGAGCATTGAAGTTGTTTAGTAAGTGTGTATTAACAGACAAGCTCAGTTAATACACAACATCCTTTGTTAGATATGTGCTTTGCAAATATTGGATATAATCGTAAAACTCTTTTTAGAGAATGCATTAAAAATAAATCTTGTTTAGCTGTCACTTGCCCTTGCAAAGTACGAGATAATTTTTGTATAATTGCCATGTAATCTGCAAAGGATAAATAATTTGAAGTTACTGCAGTATATAATTAGATGTCGATTATACCTCAGGATGGTAATAGTATTTGCTGGCCTATTGGTACCTTGAATTAAAAAAAGAAAACTGAAATTACCTAAGAATATTCCTATGGAGAAAAATACCTGATTAATTCTATTAAAATAATGAATTACATATTTTTGATTTTAATCGCCTGTTATGCTAATAATGGACACATTTATTTTTTTATTTTATAAAAAGATAGCCAGATGTTTTACATAAGAAAGGTGATAATGCTTGCCTTGCTAGTAGAAATACTTTTTTTTTGGTATTAGATTTGTTAATTTCGTCAATGAACTATTCAACTCCTTGTGCATCATGAATTATGATGAATTAAATGTTTTATTTGTATGTATTCTGGAAAATTAACCCAGGCACAATGAGCTTCAAAATAGTTGTGAGACTTATATTCCTATGAACTCATCTATACATGTTCCGTGTGACATTTTACAGTTGTTATTTTGTATTTTTTGTTGCACTGGATACTCTTTGTATTTTCTGTATTTTGCTTTCAATTATTATTCTAATAAACAATTACATTCAGAAAATAAAACTACTTATTTTCACAGTTATTTTGCATACCAGAATTGTCTATATTATACAATATTTTTTTTTTTTGTTCAATATATAACCAAATGTCTGCCTTATTGACTGTTAATACAGGAAATTACCATTTGCTTAGGTTTGACCTGCATCATGGTAATTATTGTGGTAGATCAAAAGATAATTTAAGTTTTGTGCTTTTTTGCACATTCTCTGCAAAACAGCATATCTAGCATCAGTTATATAATTTAATTGAATTTTATTTTGTCAGTGTTTGCGAATTATTTTGTGTATTCGTGAATATTGTCACAGTAGGTAAAGTGTAAATTTTTACTTTTTAATTTATTAAGATTTTCGGATAAAAGGTTTCATCCATGTGTTCACAAAGACTGAAAAATGTATGTTCAGAATGGGATCTGTATAATGCCTAACAATATAATATGTCCTCTTAATGTTTGCACTTGTCGACATTGAGTATTAATTGTCCGAGCTCACATCATCTTTCAAACATGTTCAAATAGGCTAAAATGGAGAACTTTTTTAAGGTTTATGTTTAGCCTAAATGCTGATATTTAGTCTTGAAGTCCCCACAATGTCCTGCAAGTTAAATATGAACCTTTGTGTTTGCACTAGTATGCAACTGTTTGTCTGGGATAGTGACAATGTTATCCTGCCCTCTAGTGGTGAAAGGCTGATTTGACTGTGAAGTAGTTTATATTTGTAATATCTTACCACAGATATTTGTCTATAATGTTCGTCATCACAAGACACTCGA